ACGAACTCCCTCTTAATAAGACCATTACACGAAGGCTGCGCTCAACATGTGGCCGCAGAAAAGGAAAAGAAAAGAACTCGAGCGAACACTGGAAGATAAATCGAATGCTTTAACGAAGTTTGACTTTCAGGATTAGGGAATTTAGGCCCGAGCCGCTCTGAAGTTATGCAGAGTTTATAATTCCAGGAAAAACTTTCACAGCTAAAATAATATGTTTCAAAGCTGCATGCTCTCGAAGCCTCGGTCTTACTGGGTTTTGTGAATTTCACCGCGGCGTGAAAAATGGTTTGGAATGAAGCTCGCAGTCTGCAAAGCACGTTTGGAAGGTGTTTGTATGAGAAGCTCGATTTCCAATACGAAGATCCTTTTTTTTTGCACATTTGGTTTCTTGTCTTTACGGTGGTTTGGAATCACTTTTACAAATAAAAATTCCATCTGGCATCTGTTAAATGACGTTCTGATGACAGGTGACCGGCTGGCATATATTGGACAAACATGGGTTGTTTTGATGTTCTTCTGATAAAAACGACGATACTCGAAATTCAGCATGTTCCACTTTTGACGCACGGCTTCTTTGGATGTTTCCTGTTCCCGAGGATGCAGAACCTCTCGCTGCATTTCAAATGCAGCTTTGATACTTTTGTCAGACGACAACATTGCAGCCACCGCAGATTACAGGCAACTCTTTTACACACCAATTTGGGGTGGGGGCAGATGGACCATGTTGTTCTGGGGGGGAGGATGAAAGAGGCGTGAATGAGGCAGAGTCAGCCAACTGCTCAGGGTCATGTAAGGGTTGTGCTCTCCAGCGACAGAATCTTAACCACACACACACACTTACAAACACACACGTTAGGGTAAACGTCATTAGCAAAACAAACACACTGATTGACAGGTCGGGGCGTCACTGAGAAAGTGTCCTCGCTGTGTGTGTGTTTCCTTCTGACATCTTCTTCTTTTAGAACAGGAGAGATCTGTGCGATCGCCCCCCCCACCCTCGGTTTGCATGTCAAAGGTGTAAAAAGTAGGACCCGTTAAACGTGCCATCGTGTAAAATGACCCAAACCAAACGAGCAGATGGGATAATAATGGGAGCCATTGGGCGAGGAGGTGGACGATGTCGGCCGATTGCAGAGCCGAGCGTCCATGTGTGTCTTCTGATGACTGAGAACACAACCATCGGGCTCACGGCGACTTTTCGGTCAAACCGCCTGAAGATCCGCTTTTACATTCCCGCCGCCTGGTGCAGCACCTGCAGATGTCCATCTGCTTTATGGCCGAAAGGCTCACAGCCACAACTGATAACCTCGCCGACTGATATTCTATATGTCTGCCTGCAGAAACCTGGCCTCCTGCAGCCCGGATGGTGGAACACAATATGTCGGCCGCTGGGGGACAGTCACGCCCCCCCCTTCCTCCCCTGTGTGGCGGTGCCCTCTCACGCTGACAGAGGGAGGGCGGGACATCAATCTTTCACTAATTCCTTCAAGTGTGAAAGGGTCCTCGTGGTGTCAGCCAAAGGGGTATTGGGGGGGTATTGACTGAGGGGAGGGCAGAGAGAAGGATGGAGAGGAGAAGAGCCTCCTCCGCCACAGAGACCCTTCCTTATGTGCCCCCCCCCCTCGCACGCCTCAACCCTGCGGCCGACACCCCCGGACAGCCGACCAGATGGCGGCAGCATTACCTCAACAAAGGCTATCTAATTAGGGCTACAATAGAGAGAAAGCAGGGGTGTGCGGAGTCCTGATGGACGGCACGCAGGAGGGAGAACAGCCAGGCGAGTCAATACCTACAACCCCGCCCCTCCCTACACCCCCCCCCTCCCCCCCAGCCCCCCCGTCCTGGCAGTAATATAGGGGGCTATGACTTTATTACCCCTCATTAACACAAATTAGACCACTTGAGCCTTCCTGAATGGCGATGACAAATTGAATTAAGTGTTTGGAAACAAGTCAATCTCCGCCCCTGGCCAGGCTGCGACCACATTGCATTAACATGCATTGAAGTGTGTGTGTGTGTGTTTGTGTGTGTGTTTGTGTGTGTGTGTGTGTGTGTGTGTGTGTGTGTGTGTGTGTGTGTGTGAGTGGGGTTATAAAAAAACGGAGGTATTATTTTGAGGTGGGTGGACTTTTGAGAGGTTGTGAGTGGTTAAATTCCTTTAGAAATGGATCCTCCCGGCTGGCGAGTTAAAGGAGGAATAAAAGAGGAGGCAACAGTTTGTTCTGAGCGGGGGTTCAGTCAGCGAGGACGTTTTATTTTAGGATCATCAGCAATAATAATGATGACAAATTCGGCAAAAGTTAAAACTTTAGAAGCACAAATCCAGATGCAGGGACTGTGGCATTAAATATATTTGATAAAGCTATTTAATTTGCATTAAATAAATGGATTGATTATTGACTTATTTTCATAAATCTAATAAATCAAATTTCCCCGGATATCAGACCAATTGGAATCAACATTTCATTTCACAACATGAATAAAAATCAAACACTGCAGTTGATATGATGGTCTCGACATTTTGACCCATCTGTTATATTGTGTCCATTATGTATTATTATTTATTCAAGAGCTTGCTGCTGCCAGTACAGCAAATTACCCCCCCGGGAATAATAAAGACAACCTTGAACTTTGATCTGTATGAGAACGTGAAGGCATCTCACTGGAAATGAAAAGGAAACAAAATAACCTTTGTTTTAGCTAATTTGTGAATGTGTATGGGTAATGTACATAAGTTCTAGAATAAAATAAAGACAACAGATCCATTTAAATGTTTTAATGTATGTATGTTTGTATATAATATTCTGCTTAAATGTATATTTAAACAGAACATTATAATATTCTGTTTAAATTTACATTTAAATTCCTAAATTGTCGACAAAAATGAGAAACATCTGATGGTAAAATACGATTTCCTTATCCAATTCTACCATTTTAAACATTTCCGTTTAGTATGGTTACATCTTGCTGTAAGGTGATGTCAACTCTCAGGGTATACAAGGTGTAAATTATTGGCCAATGGTACTGTTGACTTCAGACTGGTTTCTCTGCCCACACACGTCATAAATCACTCATATACGTCCTATTGTTCCGTTACAGTAACATCCGTGTTTTAAATGTACCTTTGTATCTAAATGTGTCTGTACCGTAACATGACAGAGAGGCAAAGCTCCTCTGTGGTGGGTGGGAGAAGCCTGACACCTTGTGGCCGTCAGTGGGGTCGCAGTTTCCTCAAGTAAAAATGATTAGAAGTGAGAAATCTCTCGACTCGTGGGAAATTTACAATGTCACGTTATCCAATCAATTCAAGCGAACATCCCAGAATGATTAGTTCATCAGATTGGCTAAATTGTCCAACATTTTATTATTTAGTCAGCCGCTGGCTAAAGTGCTTCTTACACCCGCCTGTCGCCGTCCTGTCGTGCGGGAAAAGCAGATATACTATTTTACAAATATCACTGGTTACATTCCTTATTTAAAAAAAACACACAAATATTGACGTTTATTATGATGGAGAATATTATTCTTTTCTTATTTTTTTTTACGTTGGGCTGAAGGCGGGACGCTCCAGGTGCGGTGACGCCCCGTTGCCTCCTATTGGCCGCCTGCCGCTGCCTCTGCATCCCTGCAGCGGAAGTAGTTCCTCAAACACTGACGTGACTTTATGTATTATAAGCGACATCAGTAGCTTTGTCCTACCAAAACAGTGATTCAATGCACCGGCCGGAAGGTAAGTGACCCAAATCAAACACACCTGTTTGTGCGTCACCGACAGGTGCAAATGTCCCTCGTGGGACGTTTTGCGCTTTGTGACACTTTACAACAACTAAGGAGACAGAGTGCACTGGTTACACTGGGACAAAAAGGACTGGTTATACCTCGACAGAGAGACAGAGTGGACTGGTTACACTGGGGGAGAGAGACAGAATGGACTCGATACACTGGGAGAGAGACAGAGAGGACTGGTTACACCTCGACAGAGAGATAGAGTGGACAGTTCTCTTTTGTGTTTGTTTGTGGCTGTCTCTGGTTTATTCTAGTGGGGTCACACTGATGTAAGGAGACTTGTTTGAGGCCTTTTTTCATTGCAGTTTGGTTGCCGGGGCGACAGATTTGACTTCCTGTCAGCTATTGCATTTGCCGACATTTCTTTAACTGGAAGACGACGCCTTGTCTTTGATAACTGATGTCTTTAAAAAGGTGTCCTTCAGACTTGTAAACAAGTCAAAATGTGTCCCAGCGTATGTCCTGTCATTGTGTGTGTGTGTGTGTGGCTGACAGGAAGTAGCCTCAACAAGGACACAAGCTGTTGCCTAGCAATGCATCGCTGTGTAGTGAAGGACCTCGGGCCTCAGTGGGACGTGTGTGTGTTGCCGTGTTATTGCACTATTGCAGCCTAAGTACTTTAATTGGTCCTCACGTAGCATCGATGTAATGCTTGATGACTTATCCTCCACCCCTCCACGTCTCTTTTGGGACCCGGTGCAGCTCTGTAATTCTACCCTGCTAGAATCCATCACTTACAGTTCAATGGAGCAGAAAACGTTCTTGTGATACATCTATATATTAGTGTTTGGAGGCTGTTGCTTTTGTAAAATATTCACACACAACACCACCGCACAACAGTAGAGTAAGTTAATGGTGAATTGTTCCTTTTGTCAGTGGAATAAATCTGTGTGTACAGTCAGTAGCGTACTGGGAGCAGTAACCAGATGTTTTCATTTTATGACTCACTCCGTGGTCTTGAGTATTTCATGTTTTCCTTTTTAACTACATTGGCTGCTTTCAGTTCTGAGAATTTGTTCGGGGAAACAAAAGAATCTGATTTCCTTCCTGCTGTTTGTTGACAGATGTTTTCTCATATCGGACAAATTCCCGGTTGTGTTCCTGATGGAGCAAGTTGGGACTTCAGTGGCCTTTTTGTTTGTGTCCCATCTGAAGAAGGAGCGTGACGTCAATCCTCCGCCCTCAATAATCCGGCCAGTGGTGGGATTTACGCCTCCAGCTCTCAGTGCGTGTCTCGTATATCACAGATGTGCACTCTTAAGCTGTGCACTGCGAGGGAGAAGCTGAAGGGAAGACCTCCAGAGGAACTGTAACAGAAGAAAGAAGGAAGTGTAATCTCAAAAGAGCCGTAGGCAGAATGGGATTATGGTCCAAAGATATGAAGGAAATAGTCCAATAAATGTAGTCACCGTCTTGGAAATAATGAATTAGTCCAATAATCACGGATCAGACGTGATTGTTGTGCAGTGCTGTCTCCAACTGATCCAATGTAACTGTAAGGTTTCAGTCATTAATGTACCTTTTCTTATGAAGAAGTCACCCATCAAACAGCAGGTGGTGCTGTGGGTGAAAACACTCTTTGGCTCCACCTAGAACACCCAACACAAGGTTTCATAATGTTGGTGCTTCATGCTGCAACATGAAATCAAAGCGGTTATTAATCTGGCAGCTCAGTCACAGTCTGGAACCTCGACATGCTCAGTTTCACTTTAAATAATCTCAACATGCTCAGTTTACCTTTAAATAATCTCAACATGTTCAGTTTACCTTTAAATAATCTCAACGTGCTCAGTTTCACTTTAAATAATCTCGACATGCTCAATTTCACTTTAAATAATCTCAACATGATCAGTTTCACTTTAAATAATCTCAGCATGCTCAATTTCACTTTAAATAATCTCAACATGCTCAGTTTCACTTTAAATAATCTCAACATGCTCAGTTTACCTTTAAATAATCTCGACATGCTCAGTTTCACTTTAAATAATCTCAACATGCTCAGTTTACCTTTAAATAATCTCGACATGCTCAGTTTCACTTTAAATAATCTCAACATGCTCAGTTTCACTTTAAATAATCTCGACATGCTCAATTTCACTTTAAATAATCTCAACATGCTCAATTTCACTTTAAATAATCTCAACATGATCAGTTTCACTTTAAATAATCTCAGCATGCTCAATTTCACTTTAAATAATCTCAACATGCTCAGTTTACCTTTAAATAATCTCAACATGTTCAGTTTACCTTTAAATAATCTCAACATGATCAGTTTACCTTTAAATAATCTCAGCATGCTCAGTTTACCTTTAAATAATCTCAACATGCTCAGTTTCACTGTCAATATGTTCTGCTGAATAAACCTTTTTGAGAAAAACACTTTACTGGTACAATTGGTTACTTTTACTTTACACCAAATCTCAGAGGAGAAATTGTACTTTTTACCAGATAAAAACATAAATTACTTTGTAGATTCAGAGAATCATCCAAAATGCATAAAGACTTCTAACAAAGTAGTTAGACTTTCTGCAAAAGTAAATCATCTGAGTACTTCTTTAACCTCTGGTTATAAACTATCTGAACATCTAACTCACGGAACAGTAAAGTCAATATCCTGTTAAGAACAGTCGATCATTTATTGCAACAGACGGGAAAGTAACATGTTGATTTTGAAGAAAAAAAGCATAATTCCGATGAAAGCATATCAGGGTGGGGCTGGTTATCATTTCTTAGCATGCGATTAAAACCAAACGAGGTGAGGAGAAGAATGCTGCTGCAGTTTGTTTTGTGTTTCCTGCAGCTGGTTGGATGATGATGATGACATTTATGTCCCATCCGGGCACCGCGACCCAATCCGGAGACTCCTCACCCTCATCATGCAACTATTGACTCTTAATAATCTGAGTACAAACTGCCTTTTGTTCTCACAGTCTCAATCCGACGCTTCGATGGGTGATGCATCTCCATTGAGTTAAACCACGCGTGTGTTTAACCGATCCTTCTGCCGCGACGCGCCTTCGTCAGAGAGGTGGAGCTTCGACTGCGAAATATACGCTGAGGAAGTTACTGTGGCTGGGCGATATTTCACAAATCCCAACAACAATTCAACAATGTAAAATGACGTCTTACCGCTGAAATGACTTTGAATTCAACAGGTTTGATTTTTGTGGTGTACATTTTAGTAGCGAGAGTATTGATCATGAGACCTTCAAAACGTGGCCTTGAGGGTTTGTGGGTCACTTTTACGAAACAACCTTCAGATTTCCCTCCCAGAAAACCGCAGATGCGTCATTTCCCTGCCTGTGGACGTCCTTCTGCACTGAGCGTCTTCACGCCCCCGGATGTCCGCCTCGAGGTGCAGTTGCATTAAATCCCTTTTTCCCAGACAAAGTTCCGTTTCCCGCCTTCGGACTGTGCTGTTGCACCATCCTCCTCGCGCTCCGGTCCGAGTCTCCCAGGTCTGGCTTCGCCCGCCGTCCGGCCCCCCGCGTCCCCCCGGGAAGTGGTGCGCAAGCACAGTTGTGCAGGAAGCCGCTGCCATTTCCTCCCTCTTGCGTCACAGACGCAACGACTGCGCCCAAAACCACGACCGCAACCGCAACCGCATGGGACCCCGGTGCAGCGCTGGAATCCTTCGCCCTGACAACCACAAAGGCCACTGACGGAGTCCCAGCAGCACCTGTCGTGTGTTTATGGGAGCACGTATGCCCGTCTGCTTTATTAACAGCTCCTTCTGGCCCCGGTAGATATTACAGATTGCACTGGTTTCTAATGAATGGCCCTTGTTTCTCCGCTGTGTGAATTCACCCATCCTCCATCAATAAAAGCATCTGTTTCTCCTGTTCCTGGAATGTCACAGTGACTCACAGCAGTGAGATCTTTTGGTTGCACGTGTGATGATACTGTGGATGAAGAGCTGAACGATATGTGTGCCAGACCAAACATCGCTGAGCCCCCTTTTTTTTTTAGCAGAAATGAAGTTTGGCTTAATGTTTGGTCAAACCACAAGCCGAGCTGCTATTGATTATTCTTAAACAGAAATACATCTTGTACATTTCCCTGAAACCTGTAGTAACATTTTCCTCTGTTTCGCCCAGAAAGAATCTCTAGTGAGCGGAATGACCCCGCTGCCCCCCCATGGCAGTTTTAATCCACTGCATTATTAAGTAAGAAGAGATGGAAAACAAATCAATGTACCGCCTGGACGCTGATCAATGTAGCAAAACGATCACCCCAAACAACCCCGGGTCCTTTTTAATGGACACTTTGCCCACCAGAGGTAAACCGATATAAGGAGGAAAACACCTTGAGGTGCGTTCAACATAACTGGTGATTTAACTTTGTCATCACGTGTTTCCAGTGGGTCCGTTCCATGACGTTCCATACTCACAATACCAGAATAGGCTGTATGTTAATGTTCATATTCAACACTACACACTAATGCACACAGCATACTGATTATTTACCATTTGCGGTGGGTAAATTATGCAGCGTTTCATCAGTCGGTGTTCAATTTTACTACTACGTAGTGCCCTAATTTGCATACTGATGAACAAACTTTCCACACCAACAGGAAAGAGCAAAATTTGTATTATTTGTTACATTTTTTGTTCATATCGATTATTACTACAATTAATGTCAAATGTCGATTTACGTACATTGTTTATTTTTGTGTGTTTTCTCTCCTGCTGTGAATAAACAACACACGCCTGTATGTCTGTGTATGTGTAGAGAGACGTGTACAGATCAGATACAGACTCATCTTTACAGTGCATGCATTTATTGTTATCTGTACAAATATCTAATGTGTGCAATAGTACCGTTTCTACACACTAATAATAATAATAATAAGACTGTTCATCCGTCCAATCAACGGATGATTGAGCTGATGTTCACATAACAAAAGCAGTTTTTACACTGCAGCAAAAATATCCAAATCAATCCTTTACACACGTTTTTCTTACAATCTTGAAAGTGTTCACAAAGGCTGATTGTGTGAACCATAATGGCTCCGAACCCCCACCTGGCCACCAAGTGAGCCCTGAAGATGGTATCCTCTCCACTCGGCTCTTTGGAATGACTTTCACGCTTGGCTGCTGTCCAATTTTTATCTTCCAGGAGTTGCTAGGCGACAGGAATATCCTCATTGCAGCGTGTTCCTGGAAATGATGGGAGCAATGAATGCACTCTGCAGATCTGTAACTTATTGGCTTTCAGCGCGGTTATTAAACGGGTCAAGGACAAAGCAGGACGGCGTGAGAATGTCAGAAAGTCGTACAAACGGCGGCGCGGCGGGGATTTAAACCTCCACAGCTTTTAAAGCTCCTCTGATCTACTGTGAGGAACTCCAGGTCTTTAAACAGGGAGCGTTTTCCTCCGAAAGCCTGGATGGAACGCTGCTCTCTAACTTGCAAATTTCAAAGATTAGATTTACAAAGATTACCACAACTTTATGAAGGTGACGATTGACAGGACTTGTTTCCTTCGACCTCTCCGGAGAGCTGCTTCGATTGTACATAAGAACCTGTAAACGCATCATTGCACTCGCATCACTGCTGAGAACAAAAAGATGGTTCAGCGACAGTCCTGGACGTCTGCCGAGAGGAAATAACAAACCAGTATTACCCCTTAATGTGGCACCGAATGATGCAGAGGATAAGAGTGTGCGGCAGACCGAGTTTCACCAAACCAGAGAAAAGCTGAATGGTCCACGGCGCTGTTCCGTTTAAAGTAGAAAACGAGCATCTTTAAAAAATAAAAAAGAGGATTCATTGAGATTTCTTTCTGTTGCCAGGGCAACAGCTTTGGTCCACATTTACGTCCTGTCAGCGACCGCATTGAGAGACATTGCAAGAGGCCTGTTTTAGAACGCTTAAGTTGTCAAGTCTGAAAAGGTCTTCTAGTCAAATGATACATGATGTCACCTGTCAGTCGGATTCATCCCGAGTCTGAAGAAAGCTGTTAAATGTTAAATTCCTGCAGAAACTATTCATAAGAACCAGGAGGCACAAACAGAAAACACGTCCCCTGCTGCCTTGTTTTTATTTTTTTATTTTACGAGCTGAGAATGGCCACAGCCAGCGAGTACCTTCCCCACACGAGTAGTGGCTTCTGATACGGAATAAATGTTCAGATCACTTCCCGAGATACGCAGCGGTGACTTGGAGGATTATTTCAGCCGACGGCACATCTGCACCATCGAAGCAGCCGCTGAGAAATAAGCCGGTCGTGCTGTGAGAGAAACTTAATAACCTGTCGTGCTCACTTAAGCAGCAGCGCTTTTTGGTTTCGGATAAATCCTTTGTGAAATTTCAATTACGGCATCAAAGCGGTAATCTGCCCCCTCAGAGGGACGGAGTTGTTACCGCGCGGAGCCGCTGACAGAGTTCAATGAGGCCGCACTCGTCATCAAGATCTCTTCCACATCGGCGGCTTCCAATAACACTGGATGTGAGAAGTGTCACCCAACAGGTATGCATGTTTTTGTAATGCCTTTCATCACCACAAGGGGTGGTAATGCATTTTGAAATGACATCTTTTGCCAAAAGCCTTTTCAGTTCTTTTTTGTTTTTTTTTCTTCTGTTTTTCATATTCCAATTTTTAAAATCAAACCGGCAGCAATAATCCACGCCTCCTCTGGAGGCCAGAGACGACATCCTCTTTAGATGGAAGGGCTTTCATGCTCAGCTGCCGTCCGATCTTATCCCCAGGAGTTGCTAGGCGACAGGAGCATCCTCATTGCGTAAGTGTATTCTGGGAAACGAGGGGACCCGTAAATGAGTCCTGCAGGTCTGTGACTTATCACCAGCCTGTAGTCATGAGGGGTCAGTGAACGGGAGGGTTTCCGTGCAAATGGGCCGCGGGGTGATTTGGCAGTATTTGCTTTGGAGAAGCCAGCGGATTACGTTTTGATGTTCAGCTCCATTACACCCCGTACAGACGTTTAGCTACTGTGTGATCTATTGCACTTTGATCAGTTCGCATCATTAGAAAGCAATGAACTTTTCAAGAATATGTTTTGTTTTTTGGTTTCATTTAAACTGAACGCCTCTACAGGTTTTAAAACTGGATTAAATCCCGTTAGAAATAGCATCTCGACTCCTCCCGTTGTCACTGTCTGTTTTCCTTCCTTCCTATGAGGCTCTTTGGAGGTTAATGCAGCGGAGGGCAGGGTGATGAATAATGGGAACGCTGGTAAATTCTTATTTTATATCCGCTATTTATTCAGTCTCTTTTTCACAAGCAGAGTTGGAGGCTGTTGGATCAGTGGCGAGATTAAAACATGTTTATGATGACTTTTATTGTTTGTGGAGTTTCTCAGTGCACATTAAACATCACTGCTGGATGCGTTCAATAAATCCCTTTGATTTCCATAGAGACATCGAGAATTAATGCGGTTTGTAAACTTCATCCAAATCCAAATGGTACTTGGTTTTTGTTGTCCAGCGACAAAAGGTTAAAGAAATAGGAAATAACATTTGGTAATTTATATCAAAAGACTTTAAAACTGCGGTGATAAGGGCGGTGAATTTGTTAGAAAAACCTCAATCGTGTGTAAAAAAAAAAGCAAGTGGTTGAAACATATATGTTAATGATTAGCAGGTCACAGTGTAAATTTAACAGACGTTTTTGTAGAGTCCCAGAGAGAAAACAAACTCCAGGTTAACTCCACCGTGAGTGGATTCACAGCCTCGGATCAGCCATTGAGCCTCTAGTTTAACGCTATCAGGCGCCTCCACGAAGCCTCCCCGTCCATCAGACGGGCACCTGAGCTGCACTGCCACGTCGTACAGTAACTGCAGCTCTGTGAACGCCGGCGTGAATCAATGCACCCTCTAAATCTCCCCAACAGCAAAGACCAACTAATGCGCAGCACCAGCTCCATCAGCGTCTGACCGATTAATTCCTTCCTCACTCGTCTGACATTTTTGTGAGGGACATTGAGTACGCGTCAGAACGCTGCTGAATCGAACCTCATCTGTTTCTCTGCCTGTCTTTTGTTTCTCTCAAGATCGGCAACATACTATATGTTCATGGGAGATGCGTATCTCTTGAATGGAGCAACAAAGTAGATTATAAGGGCCCTGTCTGTGGGCGGGGGGGGGGGCCTATGGAGGCAGCGGCGTAGGGGGAATAGGACCTGTTAGCCTACTGTGTTTGTCTGAAATGTGAGCCGGCCATCCCCCCCCCACCCCCACCGTTCTCACAGAGATAAATCCCTGTTGCACTTAGTAGTCATCCATTTTTAATGGCACAACTCAGCTGGGGAGAGGGGGGGGGGGGGGGGGGGGGGGCACAGCCAAGGTGTGGATGACACAAACTGTCCGCCTCGGGCTAATGTGTGTACAGTCTTCCTGATGTGTTTTTGTACTGTGTGCTCGGCGTCAGCAGCCGGAGGTGCTTTCGCTGCCGGGTGGTGAGACGCGGAAGGCTTCCAATGAGCTCACCGCGGTTCCATTTGTTGTTTTTCGCTCGTTGATGAGATCCGAAGGAAGGCGTGCACTCGCTGCTGCACAGCTGCGTCCAGCTGTGTCCAACAACAACAAGAGGCAGCAGCAGCAGCAAAGCTCTCTTTCTAAAGTCTGTTGCAGCCCTTCCACAGATGGCAGGCGGAGAAGGACCGGAGGGGGGGGCGGCATCGGACCCACTTCATTGCAAACATGATCTGTTTGAATGGCGGGCCGTAAGCCGGGACATTCTTGTGTGGGCAGACCTGGCTAAACAACCGCGGCACTGTGCTCGCCCTCCGGAGACGAATCTTTAAGATACCAGAGCAGCCCGAGAGGTCGCGTCCACCGGTTAGCCCCCGAGGCGCTGGGTGAGCGGGCCAATAAGGGGAAGTGTGGTTTTTCCCTGCTCAATTCAATCAGTCCGTCTGCAAATCACTGAATCGCTCAGTAAACGGGGTAATTGTATACTGCTGCACACCGACAGGGAGAAGGAAAAAGGGGCCGATGTACCCGCTCCGGTTGAGACACGACCACATAGATCCAGATATTTGATAGGTTTTTTATTTCTCTAGTGGATTCATATGTTGTTATTCTGCACAGCAGCATACAGGAAATTGTGGTAAAATATAAATAACAAAGTTCAACAGTGTTTTCTTTTTCTATTATTCATTTAATCCAAAAAATCCTCTGTTAAAAGTGGCAAATTGTGTCAGCCTTTTCCCACGACCACTCTCTCCCAATGCAACATCGACCAACTAAACTTTAAAAAGTACGGGTATAATCGTTATTTACAGACAATCACCTTTTGGTGAGCAACGCTTATAGCTTCTTGGAAATTCACTTCCGTCATGTTCAATGCGACAAAATGAAAATACAATTATGTTATACAAAGATCAAAAATACTATCAAAAACCCTTATTATAAACGGCAGCACTATATCAATAAACTGCTGTTGACATTTTACATGTAAGTACAAAATCCTGTTGAGGTAGCGCCCTCTGAAGTCACTTGTTAAAATACTGAATAAACATCACTTTATGTACAATACAGCAAATCTCTCCTCTTTCTTCAATGCAATTGTATTCCTTTGGTAAACAAAACTGTCAGAAATGTGCAGTCCTGCAAGTGACACTTTCAATCATACATTCCACAACATGTTTGCATCTTTTTGTAGGTTTTTTTTTGGGGGGGGGGGGGGGGGGTCGTCAGGAAAAGAAATAACGGGATAACATGTTGTTGTTTGCTAACATTCATTTTTGTCTTTGTCAACCCACGCTCTCAGTGAACAGACTGGGCCGTGAGACCCTCGGGAGGCCAAACAGAACCAAAACAAACAGAGAAACACCATGAAGAAAGAGAGACCCGACAGAGAAAAGGAAATCCAGTGTGTCGCCCTCAATTGGGAATGTAAACATAAAAGAAACGCCTCTCGTTTCTGACTCGGTGGAGTCAGAAGAAGTCGGAGGGGTGGAGTAAACGTTTGGCTTGGCAACAAATGATCATGATGTCCTTCAGAGAACTTGAGCCCTAAACAGAGGCCACATTGTTGCTTGTTTTTTTCTGTTTTTTTTCTTCCTGCCTCGCAGATTGAATGTCAACTTTGAAAGCAAGTTGGAAAATATGTTGTGGAGTTTTTTTTTTTTTTGGCAGGCAGGCAGATGGGACCCAAGAGTTCCTCCTCCAGTCAGACACACACGAGCACTCATCAATGACACATTCTTAAGCTTCTTTAATGGCAAACATAACTTTGGTTTTCTAAGACGAGAAAGAAAAATCACAGCGGGCTTATAGCTCGCCGTACAAAAATACTTGGTAGAAATATGACATTCGTCCCCTTTTGCCAATGTCAGTGTGTTTCCCTACACGACCAAAATACTTTGATTATTGATACATGTATTCGTATGCACACGCTCAAATGACTATAAACTAGCGAGAAAAATAAATCCAAAGTATAAAGCATAAAATTGTTCTATGTGGATAAAAGAACTATAAAAATATAAGAGATCTTAGAGAAATAATAGGATAAAATCAATACGTTTATGAAACTGGGATATGGGCTAAAGCCGAAATCAAAACAGTCATCTGGAAATAGTTCAGTGCAATTCAATTTACTTTATAGTCATGCCTGTTTAGAATATTTTCATCCTCTTACCACCCACAGCCCTCCCTCCCTTTAACGGTCGCTGGGATGGCTGGTCTTTTGACAGCGGACAGTATTTGATCGTGTGCGCATTGTCCCCGTTGGCACTGCACAGGGGACAGGTGTAAGCCCTCAGAATCGGGCACACGACCCGGCCGTCCGGAGTCTTCAGGACGTGAGAGCCGTACACCTCCTCGGGCGCGCCGTTATTTCGGCAGAAGACGCAGATTTTGGGCTCCTGCTTGCCCCTGGAGGCGGGTTTGCGCATCTTCCTCTCCATGCCGAACAGGTCGAACCCGGCGAAGCTCCCGCCGAAGCCCGCATCCCGCTCCGGCAGCTGCACGCCGAGCTGGTTCTGGAAGGGGCTGAGTATCGAGAACCGCTCCTTCAGCTCCAGGATGGAGGCCGGCGGGGGGCTCCCGGACGGGCAGCAGCAGTCCAGGTGACCGCTCTCCCCAACGCCGCCCGCGATTACGCACGGACACGGCGGGGAATCGTCCAGGCCCAGGGTGGCTTTAAGGGACTCGGTGATGGAGTTGGGGTTCTGGGGCATGCTCAGCTTGTTGTTCTTCGTGACCAACGTCGTCAGCCCAAGATAGTCGTTCCAGAAATTAAAAGTATAGTCATACGGGCCGCGCGCATTCAAGTAGTTGTGGTTGAGAAAATCCATGGCCGCTTCTGGTCGTTCGCTCGCGGTCATGAGGCTGAAGCAACCCGAGTAATCCGTAAGGTCTTTGTAGCCAGAGTCGGTCTCCAGGAGCGGTTCGTGCACGGCGGTGTGGTCTCCAGTGTGTCCTGTTGTGTTTGTGCGTCCTGCAAACAGGCTTTCTGGTTATAAGGAGCAGGAGGGCGGGGCGCTCTGCCTCCAGAAAGCCAAGTTGGAGATCAGGTTGGAACCAGGTTCCCTCTCCACACGAACCTTTACACTCGCTTGTTTTGTTTGTTTTTCTTGCAGGTTTCTTTTCCTGTCGACGTCCATCATCGTTCTGGCGTTTGTGGAGATTCGGATATTTCCATTGAACAAAAGTTGTTAATAGTTAATGATGTTGTAGCAGAGAAATCATTTAACTGTAGTTAATCACGACGCGTCGGCGCGAGCACTAATCAATTAGAGGATAGTTCCTGCTTGGTTTTAACACGTTACAGTCCTGCATGTTTTGTGGATGTCGTTGCGCGTGGATACCGCTAAACAACCCGGGTTTAACCCGCTGCGCGCCGGTGGCAGAGACCCCCTTTGTTCCACACTGCGTTCATCCCTCCCACTGCTTCATGTGTCCAACCAACGCAAACGCTTTAAATAACCAGCAGATTACGATGGACAATTGAATGTTACTGCCTATTTTTCATACACATTGGACATTTCTTTTCTATGAAACGTGTTTTCCTCCAGAGTTGTGATCTTAATATGAGTAATTAATTAGATTTGGGTGGAAATAAGTCCGTCCCCGTTAATTCAAGTTCATAAATCCCAGAAAAAAAACACCACTGAGTGTGTGTCCCTCCCCCCCAGCGTTTATGTAAACAAGACAAGCAGAATTTCTTTTCAACGGGGGGCGGCAGGGAGCAATTACAGGTCCCCCCCCCCCCCCCCCCACCTGCGTGAATGAGAGAGACAAACAAAACCGTCAGTAATAAAGGCCCCTGGCTGGAAGAGGAAAGTCACCCGCGACGTCCCAGCATCCAGATGTCATTAGTGTGTTCTGATTTCATCGAGTCGAGACGGAGCAGACAACCGGACTGCACGGATCAGTGTCGCGAGTGGACTGAATAAAGCACATATGCTTTACAGGGTGTGGTGTTGTTGAAGGGTCACTTCACTCTCCTCACAAACGCTGAAAAGTCTTAACAGCTGGTTAAGTCCACAGAACGCACCGGGGTGTTTTTTCCGTTTTCTGACAACACGGTTTAAAGATCGGACTAAATGTGTTTGTGCTTTATAATCAAATTTGATTACACATAAACAAACAAAATGACTTGATATTTCATTACTAAACTGCCTCATTCAATCATTTTACGTCTGAAAGTCGCATCTGGAGACAGCGTTGGCTTTTCAACAGTCACATCTGTTGGGGTTGCAGGGGTTTTGAATGAAACCATCTTGTACTGTTGGTGACTTTGACAAAGTGGACCGGTTTGCCTTCAGCTTTACTGGAAAGCACAAGTTGTTCCGTCAAGCATCAATAACAACAGCGCAGTGGAGCCTTGTTCCATAGAGCTCCAGCACGGCTGCTGTGGAGCTCTTACTGCCTATTTATCTTCCCGTTGTATACATTTAAATGGACAGCTCATTGCATGTAGAGGGATACGTACAATCTGCTGCTTTTACAACTTTTCTTTTTGTAAAGAATCCTTCTGAGGTTCTATAAATTGTCAATTTCTATCTCCTCAATAATCCAATCAAATCTGGGCACATCGGCGATAGAAGTGATGGTGGCTGATTCTCCGGAGGACGCAGCGCCCGCCGCGGGCCTCTGATCCTGTGATGAAGTGGGCAGCCCAGGAATGTGGAAGCGGACCCTCTTGAAACAATGATAACACGAGTGACTGGTGTTCTAATTAAAGCTTCCAGGGGGAGGCTGCACGAACCCACTGACTCTAGAGGCCCCCATTTATTTTTAAGGGGTTGTAATAAGAATGCACTTCCCTAGGAGGCGGAGTGATACAAGATGAGCAAAAAGGCACGGTCCAATGAGCTGCAATGCTTTAGAAGCCCCTTTACTCTGCTCTGTCCGTGCAAAAAGTTACTTTGAAATAGTATTGACTGGTTATTTCCCCCGGAGCCTCCATTCGGCCGGTGAAAAATGGGAATTTTCTGACAAAGCATTAATAATGTATATAATCGCCAATCTTTTTTTTGCAAGCCAGTGCAGATTGCACGAGCAGATTCCCCCCGTGTAGCCGCAGCACCGCTGAAGTATTCATGGCCGTATTATTTCTTAATTTTGTTGTGACTTAAAGAGATTAATACTCATCCATTAGCTCGAGCTAATTCCGCGGCGACCTCGAGGTTGCACGAGTATATTAGACAAGGAAGTGAGATTAGCAGCGGAATGATGCACAACATCAGCAGGGTGGCTGTGGCCTGTAAATCGATTCAGGAATCACACAGGCTAAGTGATTGTTGTGCAAGTGTTTTTTTTTTTTTTTAGCTTGACAGGAAGAGAAAAAAAAGCTGATCGTCAGGAAAACTGGTGTCTGGCTGAGGGAGACACTTTGTTCTTAATCACAAAATCATATTTCCTGCGTGGGATCATTAGCAATGGAAATGTTTTTTTCTTTCTTTGCTCCATCTATTATGCAATGCAAATCGCCCGCGATGTGCCTTTTGCTGAAGTTAGGGGTTTGATAACGTTTGTACCACCCCGCGGAGCCAATCCGCCTCATGCATTGTGGTTGTAATCAACACGTTCCGTGCGGCGATTCAAGTCTTGTCTTTTGCCAGAAAAACTCTCAATTCATATTTGCCGCAATAAATGAATGATTGATGGCATTGTGGAACGCGTCAAGAAATCAGATCCCTTTTCTCCCCCCACGCTCGTATTGTGAGTAATAATGAAACGTATCATTTGGGCAGGCTTTGAATTATTATGTACGTAACCTCTCGGGCTAAACGAGCGGACGCTCTCTCTCTCTCTCTCTCTCTCTCTCTCTCTCCCTCTCTCTGTGAAATGTGCTTCTTCTGATGCGTATTTCATGAGGCGAGTTTCAGCAGTGGTCTTGGAGAGGGTGAATGCATCGCGAAGGATTACTCCAAAGCACACAGGGAAGCTTTGTGCGTGTCCCTACGCTGCCGCTGAAGGCAGCTGCCAGGGGTAAACCGTTTCAATGCCTTGCTCAAAGATGCCGTAGAAGTGGACATTCTCCTCGACTCTGTTAAAGCTGGTAATCCAGACGTCGGCACCGCAAACGGGCCCGAAGCAAAACTCTCATTTAACGACGCAGCCACACCTCCATCTGCGTGTTTACACAGCGGCATATTGATCACGAAACAATACATAATGAGTTTGCAGGAATTGCTCAAAATCCATTTTGCCGCATCGATTGCCGTAATGAAGATGAATGCCAAATCTCTCGGTATGAAAATGGCTCGCCCGCATTTGCATCCTGCATTTGTCTTCCCCAATCCTAAAGAGACGGCTCTTTCTCTTTGGGATTACCATGTGTTTTTACTCACAGCCATTAGAGCTCTGTTTGTGATTATGTAAATGAGAAAACATGCAGGAAATTTAATCAGTGAGCAAATTTGATTTCACGTGAACAATCGCTCGAGGGCGGTGGGCCTGATCACATAATATCTAGCAACCAAATTATGTTCAATATTTGTTTTCACTGTGGGCTTCTACTTGGACACGCTGCAGCTTTACAGGCTCACGGTTTTGCCTCGTGTTTGGAGGCTTGAAGTTAACAGCCCCGCATGCGGTTTGATCATCCTTTGTTCTCCCCTGAGATGCTGAATGGAAACTGCATTTAGTGGGAAGCATTTCCATATCGGCAGCAAAGCGAAGCAGCTTGTGTTTATGCTTTCTTATTATTGTTGCATCCCCTGAACCGAATATCCGAGCGCTCCGCTTCCTTTTGTTCCCCAGCCGAACAGTAAGAAAATGGGCTCTTTGTAATTGCACGTAAACACAGAGGATGCCATTGAATGGAGATGTGTGCCGCTGCAGATAACTGGTGACTAAAGCGAATGTTTCTCCAGAGTTGAAACGAATAAAGCGTGTCAGTCAATAATAAGGCAGGTAGAACAAATGAATGTCATTCAGCTTTTCACTCGTTCTGCAGCCCAAAGTGGAAAAGGCAATGACAGGAGGGCTGAACATCTTTTATTAACAGCCTGAGGAGACGGAGCTCCACGTTTTTTTTTGTATCCATTCCCTCACACCTTGACCTTGTGTCGGTGTGCATGCACATATGGGAAGGAACAAAAGAAGCTATACGATCTTTCCTCAAAGCTGCAGGAGAAAAGCCTCTCTGCCGAGCCAGAGCTAGTGGAGTTCCTCCACAGCAAATGTGTGCACATTTCCTCTGCAGATCTGAAATTTATTTCATAACTTTCAGTTAGCAAATAGCGGAAGCTTTGGGCTTTGCTTCCGTGTGCATAAGACCGGCACTTCAACGTGCAGGTTTGTGGGGCCTCGGGACTGAATCTCAGGCCTTCGCATAAGCATTTTTATTTACAAACCTGCACTTTAGTGAGGAATACTGACCTTGGGATAACAACTAAATCCACAAGCTTTTCTTCCCAATAATAAAATATTGACCGATACTAAACAGCTTCTCTGATTTTACATTCTCTACCTTCATGTTAAAGCTGCATACTAAACAGCTGGAGCACCTTTTAAATCAAGTCAAGTGTATAAAAGCGTGATGGCAAAACGCCAATACGTTCCGTATGAGCACAAGCATGCTACTGTTTGGCCAGAATTGTGTTAAGGCTCCATGATTGATTCAGCCGAGACCTTTGCTTAAGGTCATTTCAGTGAATAATTCCTTTCAGGCCTCACTGAAAACGTGTCGTTCTTCACAGTAAAAACAGGCCAAATTCAGGTGATAAAGTTTAGAGAGTTTCTCTACAAACCGGTTTTGAGCAAACTGGAGTTTCAGAGCGTAAATACATAACGACGTAATGTCCAGGGTTATTACGCGTGGTCTTTAACATCGACAGGTGGGTTGGAGGTGTAATCACATCGCCAATCATATATATCGCTCGACCTGCTATGAATGCAATGCGGTCGATGTCGGCGGACTCAGTGAGTCCACAGCTAAAGAAAATTTCCTTTTCTATAAGCTGCGGAAAATCAACTCCGTAGAGGTGAGGAAAGTGATTTGGCATTCAGAGCCACAGCGGGAAGATAATTTAACGTTATTAGCCGTCCCGAAACTCAATATGACAGAGAGGAGGTTTGAAAGCTGAACATTTCAAATGCATTCACTCAACTTCCCGCTGAAGTTCAACTCACCGCGATTGGTCCTGTTATTCACGGCCGCGTTTTCCCGTCCACTGATTGCACCACAGTCATTTACATGAAGTGTATCTCCACATAAAAGGTTGTGGTCGGTTGCTTGGTAGCTGTTGCAGGTCTCATCAGATTTTTACCTCAGTGATGCACTTTACAAATTCAT